CCCGCCGGCCGGGGCTGCTCCCCATCCATCCACCCGCCGCTACAATGGGCGCAGCGCTCCCTCCCTCCCTCCATCCCTCCCTCCCTCCATCGCCATGGCCGCGGCCGGCGCCCGCATCATTCATAAAATCAGCCTCGGCGAACACCGACACCGCAAACCCCCAACGCCGGAGCCTGCAGCCACCAGCCTGAAACTTCCCCATCGCAGGAAAAGTTTCAAAAATACTTCTATCTTTTGGTTTGGGTTTTGTTTTTTTTCCCCCCAATGCCATAAAGCAGGCGGATGTTTTCTGACAAATATTTATCTCTTCCGAGCCCAAACGTATTTCAAAGGCAGATTTACAGGCACGGGGAATACAGCCGCACACACATATTCTCCTCTGGATTTCCTCCAAACCGGTCACATTAGAAATATTAAGAGATCCTTGAACTGTCCCCTTCCTCAAAAAAAAAAAAAAAAAAAGAAAAGAAAAAGAAAGAAAGAAAGAAAGAAAAAAAAAAGAAGTCCCAAGTGCTCATTAAAAGGGAGAAAAAAAAAGGCTTTAGGGTAGGTTTAAGCTGTATTTACACTGACTGACTCATCCAATTAAAATTCAGGAGCAGTTTCCTGCAGGATGAAGCTCCCACACACTAGTTTCCATGTGAAATATCTCCAAGTAATAGGATATTATCAGAGGTGGTACGTGCCGATACCTCTCCGGGCACTCAAAACCCGTCCTCCCCCACCAAGACACCACCGTCACCTGCACCGTTTTCTCCCGGGCTTTAATTAAAGCACGCTTTCCCGGCCGCTGGCTCGCAGCCCTTCTAAACCCAGCTCCTTCACAAAGAGGGAGCTTCAGGGCTTCCATGTACGCGAAGCGGCAATGCGCAGAAGGCGCAGGGGGAGGTCAGCACACGATCCAACCCGGGGGGGGACACACCGAGCCCCAGCCCGACCCCGGGGCGGCGGGGAGAGCCGGCGGGAGGGGGAACCGGCCGCTTGCTTACTCGTTGTTAGAAGTCGCCGTCTCTTCGCTCATTTTCTCCTCACCGCGATCCGACAGGCAGACGGAGCAGCACCGACGCAGGCAGGGCGCAGCCAGAACTCACCAGAAACTTCACCATTGTTACCCCCCCCCCCGGCCTGCCGCCCCCGGCCAGGGCACGGGCAGCGCTGGGAAGCGAGGGAGAGGGAAGGGGGGGAGAGGCGGGGGGAAGCGATCTTTATCCTGGAAACACGAAATCCTGTTGTCCGGCGCTGGAGCGTTATTTCCCCCCTGTCTTTAGAGATGATGATGGGAAAACAGCAGCAACAACCCCCGGATCTTCTACTCTGGGGCTGCTCCCGATTAGAGGGGAGCGGGGCGGCGGAGGCAGGGGAGGGCTCCCCGCCGCAAAAAGCTGCGCCGCGCCGTCCTCCCGCTGCAGCTCATCTCCCGCTGCAGCCGCCTTCGCTGCTGCTGCTGCTGCCTTCCTCCTCCTCCTCCTCCTGCTGCTGCTGCTGCTGCTGCTGCTCGGCCGCCTCCCTGCCCGCCCGCCTCCCGCGCCCAGCCGGGGCA